TCATTGTGGGCCAGCTAGCTGGCCCTGTGAGGCGAATTTGAAATCTGATTGGTTAAAGAAACAGTCCCATTGTTAATATAGTTTAAGTTACATGGGCCAGCACTTCTGATTCTGAAGGCCCTGGGCAGATTAGATTGACATGGCAACACATAGAGGCTGAAATCTGATTGGACAAAAAATCTAACATCCACATACACGTACTGGAAGTGGAATAAATATTAAGTCAACTTCAGAGATCTGGAACATGCAGGCTAGTGTCAAAACATTTGCAGTCAGATCATAGTACCGCAGCTGTCCACAATTAAGCCACATGTATGTAATGAAAACTGAAAGTATGAGGGTCAGGCAAGAGTCATGCTTATGTTGATTTACACATGTTTAGGTGCATCAGACTAAATGCGCCCAGACGTCCTTTGTCGCATCGGCATGCAAGTTCTAAAACTAGAGTTAAGGAAGTTGTTTGCACTCATAACAAGCAAGGTGGTGGAACAACAGCGGTTTGAAACAGGAAGTGTTTTTTTTTTTACCTTGTAGTAAGACATATTTCAGTGGGTGTGATTTACCACAGATGCAGAACTAACACTGATCAAATTCTCCTTGTGACCCTTTGGGGTTTTGTGCAGGTTGATCTACAACAGCACCACACACACCACTTCATCCCCGCCAGGTGTGGAGATCCGTGTCCCGGGGTTCGGAAAGACCTATTCACTGGAGTATCTAGACCCCAGTAAACACAGCCTGGGTGAGTTGAAGGCACAAAAACAAACAGTCCTTTACAGAAGTGAGAACAAATTTAAAATAACCTCCAAAAAGATTCTCTATCCTCCATAGATAGACAAACAAGAATCCAAATTTTTTTTTTCTTGCTTGTGTGTCTCTCTCTCGTAGGCATGTACTTCTTTGCTATTGTGCAAGCGCTGGTAGACTGGGGCTACACCAGAGATGACGATGTCAGAGGGGCTCCTTACGATTGGAGGAAAGCCCCCAGTAAGCAAACGCTCACAGAAACTCTGGTATTTAGTCATGATTAACATCTGTTCCCTCAGTCCTTACTCTAACCCAGGAATGATGAACCCCCACCTGTAAAACACCTAAAATTAATTGATGTCACAACTACTTATGAGACTTGTGCAGCTACTTCTCACAAGAACAGAAGTACACACAACATACAGTGCTGTGGAAAAGTATTTATTATATCCTGGTTTCTAATTTTTTTTGCATATATGTAGGTTCGGATACCTTTTTTCCCCTTAATAAATAACATCGTCACTTAAAAACTGCATTTTGTGTTTACTTGGGTTATCGTTGTCTTTGTCTAATATTTAAATTTGTTTGATGATCTGAAACATTTAAGTGTGACAAATGAAAAAGCACTGTATTCGCTGGTCTTTGAACAATCTGCTCAAACCAGGAAATAATCGAATTGTGGGGGGGGAGTTTGTTGACTTACCTTCTCTGTTGTGCTTTGTTCCTTGTTCAGATGAGAATAAAGACTATTTCCTGGCACTACAGCAGATGATTGAAGAGATGGCAGAGAAGGCTGGTGGGCCCGTGGTGCTCATCGCTCACAGTATGGGCAACATGTACACCTTATACTTCCTCAACCAGCAGCCTCAGGCCTGGAAAGACAAATACATCAAAGCTTTCATCTGTCTGGGTCCACCGTGGGCTGGAGTGGCCAAGACCCTCCGTGTGATCATCTCTGGTAAGAACAAACACTACTAGTGTGCATATGTTGTGGTTCTGCATCTGTATTGTGTTGCAGAGGTGGACAAGACTTCATTGATAAACTACATCATAACCTTCCTGCAGTAATGGAGAAAAGGCATTCACAGTCTCTGGTGCACACTAACATTACAAAAGGACAAATAAAATAAGTACATTTTTCTGAATTCTGTTAGAACCAAAATAATCATGCACAAGCGCACACACATGCAGAAGCTTAGAAACAAAGCCTTCTCAGGGTCTCTTTTGAGTAAATGGTCTTTGTCTGTGTTACAAGATGAATGCACTCACTAAATGATCCACCAACCTAAAACAACATGGTTTCAAGGTAAGCTAATGTAAGGTGAGGTAGGACAGAATATACTTACAGCGAAAATTTATTCCAATGTTTGCTTTTTCAGTTAAGGTTTTGTTTTTGTCGGTTACGGTTTTGTTTTCAGTGCCAAGCTTTATTTTACAGTGCCAAAGATTAAAAACATCGATCTGGCACCATAGTAGTATAGCTGAGAAATATGCCGCCCTGTCTTGTTTTCACTTAAATGTGAACAAACATTGACAAAATAATACCTACTTTTACAATGATTGGCAGGTTAGTATATTTTTGCCTGTTAAAACGTCAATTTGAAAGTTGCATCGTGTGCATTGATTCCTTTTGACTAGACGGTGCCAGAGATGTATCCTAGCAACTGTTTTGCATATTTCTAAAATCTTTACCAGCTAAGATATTTCTCAAGTACTGCAACCCGTATTGTATTGTTTAATCACTTTTTTTTAAACTAGCTAGTACTTACCAAGAGAACCTACAGACAATTTTGGTGATGAATTTACATAGAGCTTGTGCTACCAAGTACAGAAATGTTCCCTACAAAGTCCTTAAAATCTTTGTTCATCCATCTTTGTTACCAACTAAAGTAGGAAGTAGCCAAAAGCAATGGAAACAGCCTGCGTAAACACCACGTACTATACAGTATCTGCTCTTTGTTTGACTACTTACTTCATAGCAGAAAGGGCAGCTTACATCACATCCTGCATGTTGGTAATGTTTCCTTGCAAAATCAAACTTGTACCATTGATATACTCTGGATTAAACAATACCATTAAGTACAGTACATGATGCTGTATTTTTCCACATCATGTTACAGGTACAGTCAGCCTCCCACAGTTCTGTCTGTGTTCATTTAAACCTACTCAAATCAAAGAGTTGTCACTTTAATGTATTATTCATTATTTTATTTAAAGTTGAATGTGCTTGAGTAGAGAGTCTGAAGAAAAAATATGAGGGGTTTAAGGTCTGGACTTTATCCTACAGTGTGTCTCATAGGAAATACAGTATGTTGTGTTTTTTGTTTGTAAAGTGACATAGTCAAACCCTCCTTGCTGATTTAGGTTCCTGCTCTAGAACTCGTGAGCTCAGTTTTAGTTTTCTGTCTCTGGTTGCTTTTCTCTGTTTATAGGCGACAATAACCGCATCCCAGTGATCAGCCCGTTGACTATTCGCACCCAGCAACGCACTGCTGTCTCCACCTCATGGCTGCTCCCCTATGCCCACTCTTGGCCTAAAGATCAGGTTTGTGTGTGTTTTCATATACATTTATACCCAGTCATCATTTTCTTTCCTACCAGGGAAATTTACATTTGTTCTTATCTGTTTTTGCTTAACCTTCTTTGTCACATTTAGTTTTATGTCTCCTGAGTTTCCTGGGATTTCACTTTGTTGTTAGTTCTTACAACTCAGCACTGTGCCTGAATGTCTGTTGTATAGACACGGTGTTAGCATCTTTTAGCTCTTTGTTTGTTTGTTTTTTTAGCTAGCAAACTCGACTCTGATCAGTCTTTCTTATAGCTGCAGTAGGCATCTTTTTTTCAGTAACAGAGCCCTGATAAACCCATTGTATGCTAGCTACCCAACAACAAACAGCAGGAAAAATAGGCAACTAGCTGGTGAACGTTTAGTATTTAGCAGCTAAAGAGTTTATCTTTAGGAGTTACATTACTGAGGAAGACAAAATATGACTCACAATGAACTCTAGTTCAGCTGTTTGCTACCATGTTAGCCAAAACAACTTTATAAGGTAACACTGCCCTAAAGTGGCAAAGCATCAGTTAATGCAGCTAGAGTAAAGGTAAACCTGTTCAACAGTTATTAAGTAGGTCTGTCCACATGATGCTCTAACAGCCAACAGGAACCAGTGTAGATTAGCACAATAAATTTTACCACTTTGGAGTAATTCAAACAAATTTAACTTAAGCTATCTTGCTTGTTTTCTTTAAACATATAGTGATTTTCTATCTATGAGGGGTGGGAGGAAAAATCTTCTATTAGAATCAAGATTCATATTTTCTACAAATCTGAATCGATTGACAGATGCTGAAAATCAATTTTTGTCACAATGTTGAAGGAATAAAAAAGGCAGAACTCAACCACAAAGCCAGAGTTGCACACAGACAGCGTGCACATACTAGAATTATGTTGTGCATCTATAGTTCATCTTCAGACAAGAAATTTGTTTGCGTGTGTATTAATGACTTGATAAGGAGCTTTGAAAGACAAGTGTAGAGGACTGTGTGAATATTTTGCAGCCCATCACCAAAAGACTGACATTAGCGTAGCGGAGCAGCAAACATATTAACCAACAAGCAGCTCAGCTCATCGAATCGTGACACCAAGGATTGGAATTGAATCGAATTGTGAGATTGCAAAAGATTCCCACCCCTGTTGTCTATGAAATAGTATAATAGAGTTACTGTGAACATAATTTAGTATTTGTATAACTTTAGCTTTTGGTAACTATTTTAGGTCCTGGTGCAGACACCCACCACCAACTACAGTGTGTTAGACTACAAGCGTCTCTACTCAGACATGGATTTTAAGGATGGCTGGCTGATGAGGCAGGACACGGAGCCGCTTGTGGCCGACCTCACACCCCCTGGCGTGGCCGTGCACTGCTTATACGGCACTGGCATTGACACGTTCGAGACCTTCCATTATTCTGATAAGTTCCCTGACGTGGAGCCCAGCGTGACGTATGGTGATGGGGATGGGACGGTGAACCTGCAAAGTGCCATCCAGTGCAGGCGGTGGATAGGACAGCAGAGGCAGCCTGTTACGTTAAAAGAGCTTCCAGGGACCGAGCATGTGAACATGTTGTTGAACGAAACTACTGTGGCTTACATCAAGACCGTGCTGTTCTCCCCCTGATGTTCTCAGACACCTGGGACATGCTGGCAGGGAGCCTTGCTGTCAAACTGGCCACACACAACCAGATGAAGGACTGGGACAGGGACTGATACATCTACCTTGTCTCTCTGAACACGATCATAATATTCCCCTGTACATGCCACATTGATCAAGAAAAAGTATTGACCTTGTGTAGTACAGAACCCAAGATTTTACTAACTACTTCCACATTGTTATGATAAAGGCATGTACGTATGTACAAGTCAAGATCCAGGGATACACTATATGTGCCACTTTTTGAGTTATTAATGAAAGTCAGATCTATTTTCAGTGTTGTGAAATTGATTTTCAACTCCTTTGGCTCTTTCCAGTCATAGCAAACGGCTATGACTCATGTTGTATTTGTGTCTTTGTCAGATCAACAGATCAATTGTTCCAGTGCTTGGTGTGTTTTTAAATAATTTAGGGATCTTTCTTTTTTGTCATTTAATTTCTCATGGTTCTTTTATCTGTTTTTGCATGTTCGCAGTACATGAGTTGTGTGCTGAAGGACTGGGAGCATGTCTGGGGTAGGGAGGTTTATTTTAATTATTGGTTTTACTTTATTCATTAATGGAGATGTAGTTGAAAGCTCCAGAAGTAGCTAAGGACCTGAATGACTTGAAAAATCTACTCTTTATCTGAATAGTGAAACAAAAAGATTTGTCAGGAGTTTGACCAAAACCAAAAAAGAAAGCTGAACTTAAGGTAAACTTACTATTTCATGGACTTTCAAATGCATGTCATGGTCTTCATCAGTGAATTGAGCTGTTGAGGAGTTTGCTCGCTTGTTCTCACATGACCCAAGTATGGACTTCAGGCTGCAGTTACATGACAACTTAATCTGCCGATGAAAAGCATCAGCATTCTTTTATCAGTTGTTTGCTTTCTAAATGTCTATCAAAAAGCCAAATGACAGTGAGAGCTGCTTTTAAGCTTTGTTTGAACCAGGTGCCCAAACAGGCTGGATTTACACTGGCACAAATGAAGGGTCTTTTATTGCTCTGTGGTATATCTCTGATCTTTTCTTGGGTGTTTTATCACATGGTATTTCCTCTGTATTTAAACAGACATGCCAAGTTCATATTGCTGTTATACAGTTTAAAACTGGACTTCCTGTCAATGTATAAATGCAGCCAGAACCTCTCTGACCTGGGTGATAGTACTGTACCACCCAGCCCTCACTGGGCCAGACTAAGTGTCATATCTGTTGTCAAATATCATAAGGTTGTGTGTCAAACTTTCTGCCTTCTACAGAGTAAAATATTTCAGATATCAATTCAACTGTTGGTTTTTATTTGTGGAGTAATTCCCTTGCATCTTAATTTGCTAAAAGATTGTTTCAGTCATAGGTCAAGGTCAGAGTGTTTATCTGTCATATGCACAGTTAGGAAACGTGTTTCCCTGTACAATGAAATTTTTACTTTGCCGTCCACATGAATGCCACAAAATACAAATGAAATATAAAGTGAGATATAAGTTAGATGAGCAATAACACAAATCTAAATAGGCAGTAAAATCAGAAATTGAGGATGGAGGCAGCTTTCCTACGCACCCTGTGGTGGTAAATGTTCTGCAGAGAGGGCAGTGGAGTCCTGGTGATCTTCTCAACAGTCTTTACCACTCTCTGCAGGCACTTGCGGTCCATAGCAGTAGTGATGCAGCTGGTCAAGATGCTCTCAATGAT